GTATAAGCATGCATGCCTGCGTTTTTGTTTTCACCCGAGTGTAATGGATTTAGAAAGAGATTGTGGAATCAATAGTCTACCTACACTACCTACACTCCTGATGAAAAACGTGCGATCAACGTGCACGGGGATAGTACAATATACTCCAGGTAGGGCTTCATGTTTTCTCATGAAAACCAGATGTGTTGTTTGGACGACTATTTACAGAAAACATAGATGTATCACACAAATGAACTGTTTGTACCTTACCAAACACTCCGTAGTCGTATCTAATTTCAGTGCGAAGGCGTGAAATGTTCAGTCAAATTTTTGACATCGGTGCATGCACTTACTGGAACGATAAGTGTATCGAAAACAAACGCTGGATTTTGTGTTGTATAGTGTTTGAATGAACTATTCACGTTTATTGGCTAGAAGAGAGTGGTATCCTTACACAAATTATTCTTTATCAAACATGCGACATAATAGTGATTGGTCTACCGATAAACAGCTGCTTTCGATTAAGGTGAACATAACTGGAGTCCTACTGGGTTGTTCAGTGTTGTAGTCTTGTGGTTGGGTGGCTATTAACCAAACTGCAAAGGTATTAGTTCATTTTTTAGTGAACATTACGTGTTTCAATCGCGAATCTAGGCTTAGCACAAGTACAGATTAAAAATAAATTTGCCATCAAGTGCATGACGTTTATTTCTCTTTGTGCTCTAGCTCTTATTGGTCAGCTTATTATTTATCGTGGTATTTAGATACATGAAGCACGCATCTAGCATCATCTGACTTCCAACAGAGCCAACCGGGCCTTCTGTTTCCGAGCTGATACTTCATCTGTGATGGGTCCACCAGGTGAGTTGTAGCTTCCCAAGTAACAAAACTTATCCACTTTCTCTATTACTTGCCCAGTTAGAATGAAACTGGGTGCTGGACCAACCCAGTCTCGTAGCAATATGTTACACTTTGAAGATGCAAAATGCATATTGATTATGGCTGGACCGGGGGCTGTATGCCTTTTGAGATAGCTTATTATTCGAGAAACCTCCATTCCAGATGGAGGACTAGCATCAACTGGGAGTATTTACCCAGTATAGATGGGGTTATAGGTCAGTAATAATACGTGCTCGGTTGACCAACATACGAGCAAAATAAGGGATCACGCTGTTTTTTGTGTGGTGGTGCGTGCACAAAGAATCCGAAATTGAGTACCGGTGGTCGGATGAGACACCGAACTGTTGATATGGGAGTGCAGGCAGTGTTCTGCATTGGGCAGAATATGGCTGATAAATCGATCACATGAATCAAAATGCTTGCTCACAATAAAGTCAACCAAAACGGTCTTTGAAATGCCGCTGCAACGAGGAAAAAGTTTAAGAGATCTGGAAAAGAGTATAAAGTCTTCCTCCTTCATACCAGGGAAATATACGGATAAACAGTAAAACTAATGTGGAAGAATGCCTATAACCACAAATTTAAGTATTATTTAAGAATTAAGGGAACGCTGAGCTTTTTAAGCCTAAAAGCGTAGAAGGATAATCTACGAACCCGAATATAAACGTTTTTAACATGTTTGGACCAAGACAGATTGGGTGACACAGTGACGCCAAGATATTTCACAGAGTTAGCTTTGGGGATGGTATTACCATTAACAGAAAGTACAGGATGATTGCTCAAAAAACTTTCATAAGGCATGTCTGTTTCGAGGTTAAAAGAAACATTCATATTTATCTACATTCAGCAATGAAGATTGAGAAGTCGATCAACTAAAAATGACATTTATACAAACTTGAAGATGACAGAAACAATCAGAAATAGTCAAGGGACAGCCGACCACCACGTCATTAGCATACTTGTAGGCAATAAAGTTGGGAGGAATGGGAAGGTCCTTAAAATACAATGAAAAAAGAAATGGAGACACAATTGCACCCTGAAAAACTCCAGAGTTAACTTCTAGCAGAGAGAAAGATTTAACGTTATAAAAAGTGTATTGCGTTCGATTAGTAAAGTAATTAATTAGTACATTCAGTAAATTAGGTGCCAGACCACAATCCGAAAGACGTTGAATGAGAATGCCGCGGTCAAGTAATCCGAAAGCCTTACCATAATCAAGAAAAGTTAAACAGGCAATGCCAGCCCTTTTATCCAATAAGGATGAAACGGAGTGAACAACGTGAGAAACAGCATCATGAGTGGAAAGTAAATGCTTGTATGCAAACTGAATAGGGTCACGAGTGACAGATAAAAGGGTCAGCCCGTTAAGAAGGACTCATTCGGAAACTTTCAATAATGCTGATGTGCAGGCAATCGGTCGATATTTGCAAGATTCTTTGTTGGGAATTGGGGTTATCCGATAATCAGGGATGCTTCCAGATGACACACAAATCGAACAACTCGGAAATAGGTGAAAAAAGCTGTTCAGCACACTTTTTCAGTAGGAAGGGGGACATTGAATCAGGGTCATGTGCCTTGTTAGATTAAGAGGACTTGAGTACATTCAGGACTTCTAAGGGATTACAGATTGGTTCTCCCCAGTAGATGTAAATAAAGATTGCGTTGAGTTCCATACAGTAGCATTTGCGAATTGATAGTTTTCTCCTCAACATCCGGAAAAGATCTGTTACATGAGACATAGAGCCACTTCAAAGCATACCACATATCGCGGCAGCTCTGATTTCCCATAAGAGTTTCTATATGTATCCGATTTAGGTGCCGTATTTCCATTTTGATCAATAATGATAGTTATTCGACAGCACTGCGCCTTCCAGTCCTGTAAGTCTTTTCTTTATCGCGACGAAGCCGTTTTAGAAGAGGCGAAGAAAATCTGTCAGTTCGAATATGCAAGGTCTCAACGGGGCAACACAGATCATAGTAAAAATGAAGGTATCATGTAAGATACTCACAACTAGAATTGTCGTCAGCGTTGGCAAATACAGTGAAATCGGTAGATGAACCCATATCTTCAAGTTTGGATAGGTTTTCAGGAGTGCGACTTCTCCTTGTAATGGTTCTGGATGTGGAAGAGTTCATATGGTGCTGAAAATATTTACCGTAAATCTTAGGGTGCAAAACAATAGAGCAATGATCGGAGCTACCTATGGGAGCCCGCTTCTCAGTGAAAACCCTATCGGGGCTATTTAAAAAATCCCATCAAGTTGAATACCAAGCCGGATAGGAAAATTTACAAGATTCGTTAAGCCTAAAGTTGTCAGGAAGGAGATATTAAAACGATTAAAATAACCAGCAGCAATGCATAAATACTGATCTAAACCGGTTATAAGTTGTGAAGAGAAGAAGTCGACAAACAGACGAATATCAGATATAGGCGTGTTGGGAGCGATGCAAATGTTCGCTGATGTAATATGATGAAAGTGACTGATAAATCGGGGCTTACAATAAACAAAAATACAATTTGCCATGGCAGTATTAAATTGAAAACATTTATGAGCGTTTTTGCACCATTTCCTGTTGATGAAAGCAACCACTCCACCACCTGTGTGAAGGAGATCCACATTACGGTTTCCTCGGAATATGTCAAATCCACCAAGATGCACGACACTGTCCTCAATATCAGGGTATAGCCAGCTTTCCTGGAGTACAATAGCCCCTACATTCTTGCATTCCTTCTGGTGTATCATGCTCTTTGACCAGATTTTTGCAGTCGTTTGAACCGATTTCTCATA